TGGGTAAGCTTCCCAAGGATAAAATCCCCGTGAAGTCCCAGGGGAAAGATGTGCTGAAATCCTATATCAGTGTTTCTCAACCTTGGCCACTTGAAGATGTCCAGGACTTCAACTCCCAGAATTCCCCAGCCAGCATTCGCTGGCTGGGGAATTCTGGGAGTTGAAATCCGGACATCTTCAAGTGGCCAAGGTTGAGAAACACTGATATAGGATTTCAGCACATCTTTCCCCTGGGACTTCACGGGGATTTTATCCTTGGGAAGCTTACCCAAGCGCCTCTCGGTGGCAGAAAACTGGCGTCTGGTGATGGTGAAATGCAGGTGGGCTGGGATGCCGGTCGTTCACCTATCCTTGAGCTGACACACCGCAGGGTGGATGAAAAGCTCCCTCTCTCAAGCATGTTCAGAAACAGAGATCCAGTCCCGTCCCCCCGTCCCCCTGTCCCCAAATCAGCCCTTGGGCCAAAGAAATAATGGAAAAGCAGTAGAGTAGAACAAATAATGGTGAACCTTTTCGGCAGCGAGTGCGTGCCGAACATGTATGCATCTCCGCACTCCACAGCATGTACGCAGCAGTCAGCTGATCTTTGGCCAGCTAGTCTTTGTGCGCCGAAGGACTGGAAACCCAAAAACCAGCTGGCTGGCGCACGCATGCCTGTTTTTTTGGCCGTTTTCAGGCCATTTTTCAGGCTGTTTTTGGCCTGAACACGGCCTGAAAATGACCCGAAAATCAGCCCAGAAAACGGCCTGGTTTTTGGCTGATTTTTGGGCCGTTTTCTGGCTATTTTCTGGCGCTCCAGCGCCCATGAAGACCAGCTGTGCATGTGCTTTCCAGAAGCCAGAAGAGCAGCTGGCAAGGACGCATGTGCCCACAGAGAGGGCTCCCCATGCCACCTTTGGCACGCTTGCCATGAGTTTGCCATCACGGGAGTAGAGCTCGCTTTTTCCTCCCAAATGGACGGTTGTAGAAACGGAAGGGCTGCGGGAGGGGCAATGGGAGCGTCAGCAGAATTAGGGCGGGATTGTTTGGGGGCCAAAACTGGGCAGAAATTCAGAGGGACCTTTCTCAGGAGGGGGCCCAGGAGCAGCCGGTTCTCATTCAAACCCACTTTTCACGCGATGACGAATCCCTACCAGGATAGAAAGTGTGGTAGCCGGGCCGTGTCCTCTGTGAACCTGCTATCAGTTTAATTCATCAGCGAGAGGGTCTGCCTCATCTGGAACCCATCAGGGTTTAAAATAGCCCAGACAGAGGCTTGCAACCTAAAACAGATTATGCAAACCTATCAAAACAGAACAAGGAAAAAGAAGCAGGTTTCTGTTTCTGGTTAGCGCAAGACGAACTTCATCTGAAAGCTCGCGATTTGCACATGTTGGGAAACCGTCTCTTCTCCGGAGAGCAAAACGGAACAGCGGACGCTTGGTGGACCGAAGAGCAGAGGGCAGANTATCTATCTATCTATCTATCTATCTATCTATCTATCTATCTATCTATCTATCTATCTATCTATCTATCTATCTATCTATCTTTGTTATATTTATGCTGATAAATAAATAAAATATATATATATGAAAAAAAAATCCATTTCTATTTGGGAACTCTGTGGTTGTGACTTCCCTCGATGAGCCCTGGGTGCAGTTAATCAAACAAATGGCCACTCTTCTGTACTCACAAATGCTGCACCTTCCCAGTTGTTCCTAGCGAATGCTGAGTCCAGCTTCTTCCCACAACTGTTGGGGTTCAGTGCTCTGCGTTCGATGCCTGGCATGATACCCCTTCCTTCCTGAGCAGTTTTGAGCAAGCAGCAAATTTGGCTTGTTGTAATTGTGGCTTCAGCGTCCTTTAGGAAGGCCCCCTGAGTAGCCACCAAGACTACAAGGCTCTTGAGGACCACAAAGACAATTGTGAGTTTCCTTCAAAGGGCTCCTGAGGGTTTGGAGAACGGAATAGCAGGAACTGTAGGAAGGATGTTGGTCTCTCAAAGGATATCTCCTCCTTGTCTTTGTAGGCTGGTAACCATTTATACGGGTAGTCCCCCACTCACGACCACAGCTGAAGCCAAATGCGAGACATTTGTTAAGTGGGTTTTCCCCTATTTTACGACCTTTCTCGCCACAGTCGTTAAGTGAATCTGGCTTCCCCACTGACTTCGCTTGTCAGAAGGTCGCAAAAAGGGATCATGTGACGCCCCCCCACACACCCCGGGGACTCTATAACCATCATAATTATGAGCCAGTTGCCAAGCATCTGAATTTGGATCGCGGAAACGCTGGAAAGGTCGTAACCGTGAAAAACGGTCATAAGTCGCTTTTTTCAGTGCCGTGGTTGGGTTTTTGTTATTCCCCTGCTTAAAATAAGTCCACTCTGGGCGGCCTAGATTGGGACTCAGGGCAACGTTATGACCTCAGCGGGAAGTAAAGTGCCCTCTTCACCTGTGTTTCTTTCTAGAGGATTATCCTAGCGGGACGTGGCTAGGGGACGAGAACAACCCCGAGATGCGTGTGCGCTCCCCTATCACCCCGGCAGACATGCTCCACATCAGCACCAATTGCCGGACGGCCGAGAAGATGGCGCTGACCTTGCTCGACTACCTTTTCCACCGAGAAATCCAGGCGATCTCTAACCTTTCCGGCCAAGGGAAACACGGCAAGAAGCAGCTCGACCCTCTCATGATTTACGGCATCCGTTGTGAGTACCGGGTCTCCTTGGGCCTCGAGACCTCTCCCCACAAGCACCTCTTTCAAACTGGCACAGCAGAGGGGGGCAAACCTGGGCTTTCTAAGGATTTGGGAGATGGTTGGCCAAATGGTGGTGGTGGTGGGGAGGATAAGTCTTGTTTTGGTGGGGAGGGGCAGCTACTGTCCTTTGGATCTGCCCTGAGAGGCTGCAGGCTGCATCCATCCCACAGAAATCAGCTGGAAAGACCTACTTGGCTTGACTGGGGTGGGGGGGAGATTCAACCTTCGCATTTACACAGCTGCGTCCTAACACAAAAGTTTTGTCAGTCTAGGAAAATTACCCAACAGTTTTCCCTTCGCTGTAACGGAAGGCGTCTGAAATTGGCTGGTTTCTGGGGTTTTTTTTGTTCCTCTGGAGATAAATACATAGGGGATGCCTAACTTTTTCCGACAAGTGAGAAAGCCAGTCTGGTTTCAGGAGACTTGGATTTATAGAGGTGGCTGAACTGCTCCAGCGGACCAAGGAAATGCAAGAATCTGCGTTGGGGGAAAAAAAGGCCCTTTCTCGAGGAAGCCACTCAGCAGTTATTGAGTTAAGTTAGCAAAAGCTGAACAGTCCCCAGTGCTATTCGTCTTTCAGATGAGCTGATCCAGTTTCCTCATTCCATGCTGCTGCATGTTGAAAAAAATATAAGTGAATTCGGGCATAGCCCTCCATTCTCCAGTGGCGATAAGGCAGCTGGCCTCGACGGTCAACAGTTGGGATGGAAATCTATTGATCTTAAGAGCAGCTTGAGAGGAAAGTTGGTTTCCAAAGGAAATGTTGAAGCTTGTGGCAGAGATTCTCCTTCTGCGTGTTGGTTTTGTGGGCCTACTTAAATGTGGCCCAGAAGTGATGTGTTCTAGGAGAAAAGAACGGCAAAGATTCCGAATAAGTGCCGCTCCAAAATATTGTTCACAAAGTTTTGTCTATTCCATTGTGATGCTTGGAATGGGGAAGCACTTTTCGCGATCAGAGATAAAGGGCTGAGAATGGTGTTCTTTCCAGAGGTTATGAATTTATGAAGATTGATGTAGTTAAGATTGAAGATTTTGGGGTAGAAAACCAAGTCAGACGGTTGATCTAAACCATACATCTCGGTCTGGAAGTTCAAGTTATGGTTTGGATTAGAAGTCATGTTTTCGGGAAGCCACAGCTTGCGCTGATGTCTGAACTGAAGCATTGATCAATCCCCCCACTGAATACTGTATTTTTCGGACTATAAGACACACCGGAGTATAAGGTGCACTATGATTTTGAAGAGGTAAATTAAAAAAAAAAGGTTTTTGCACTCTGCAGGCCTCCCAAACCAGGGGTGAAATCCAGCAGATTCTGACAGGTTCTGGAGAACCGGTAGCGGAAATTTTGGGTAGTTCAGAGAACAGGCAAATACCACCTCTGGCTGGCCCCAGAGTGGGGAGGGNCGAGCGCGCTTTAGTCGAACGCAGTTTTGTGGTGGAACCTTTTTCTCCTACCAATCAACATTGACTCACAACCAATAAGGTTGGGGATGGGAAGAAGTGAGACAGACCTGAAAAAACAGATCAGGAGGAGATGAAAGGACATCCTTATCCCTTAACACTTAGTTATCATGGAATTGCTTGACTAGCCTATCTGCCTTTATAAGTTCTATATCCACTCTTTACTCGGGTAGCTTCAGGCAAAGGGTACCTTTCCAATGAACCAAATATTGTTAAAAAAACCTCTATACAACCTAGAGTCTGCAATCTAAGTTAACACTTAGGGTGTTACTTGCAACCCTGACACACAACACATGAATGTTTTGGTTTTCCGCAGGCCTGGGGTGGTGGTGGTTGGGTTCAACATATTGCCCAAGGGAGCTTTTCAATTAGAAAAGCTACCTTGGAAAGAGGTGGCATCTTAGAGCATTGTGACGAACCATTCATTCGGTCTTCTCCTTCCCTCTCTCCCTCACAGTCTGCTCTGAATATGCTCTCTAAATGCCAGTCTTTGTGTCTTGCCGAAGACGGGATCTTGTGTGTTGCGTTGCATCCTGGATGGGTACAGACCGACATGGGAAATAAACTAGTAAGTGAATTGGAGGCGGGGGGGGGGGGACCCAGGGGTTAGGGTTAGGTTCTTCTTGCTAATACAGCTTAGAAAGGAGGGACGCAGTGGTCAGTCGCTAAGATGCTGAGCTTGTCGATCAGAGAGGTCGGCAGTTCGACGGTTCGAATCCCTAGTGCCACGTAACGGAGTGAGCTCCTGTTACTTGTCCCAGCTTCTGCCAACCTAGCAGTTCGAAAACCTGTAAAAAATGCAAGTCGAAAAATAGGAACCACCTTTGGTGGGAAGGTAACAGCGTTCCGTGTGCCTTCGGCATTTAGTCATGCCGGCCACATGACCATGGAGACGTCTTCGGACAGCACTGGCTCTTCGGCTTTGAAATGGAGATGCGCACCGCCCCCTAGAGTTGGGAATGACTAGCACATCTGTGCGAGAGGAACCTTTATCTTTACCTTACAGCTTAGAATCATATCATATTACACTATTGGCTTCAATTCTCCCAGTGCTGTTACTACTGTAGCCTTTTAGACTTTTCCCACTATCAACTGCCTTCATCCTTTGCCTATTTCTTCCCAGGGACCAGCTCCACTGACAATGGAGCAGAGTTTGCGAGGTATTCTGAACACCCTCGGCCGTCTCTCCGAGGAAAACACTGGCACCTTTGTTAACTGGGAAGGGAAACTTGTTCCCTGGTGAGAGAACCCAGAATTTGCTCCACTGTGTTGCAGGGCAATGTTCTCATCGAAGGCAACACAACTTTCTCAACTAATTATATTTGATTGTGTGCGTGTGAAATAAAAGAATTAAATAAATAAATAAATAAAAGAAATTAATTAAAACTGTCTCTTTGGTTAATGATATGTCAAGTCATTTGGAGGCAATGATTATTAAGTTACTCTGTTATAAAACGTTAAAAGCTGCTTTCGTATTCTTTGACAATACAATAAGTGTATAAGCCATCATATTCTTGCCTAAAATGTGTAATGTTCCTGGGGCTTTTGCTAACCACAAAATGTGTTCAGTAAATAGGATAAGATAACCTATCTTATTCCAAGTTGTTTACAGGCGCTTATGTACAAGTTAGATAGGAAGCCATCTGCTCAGACGAAAGGCAACAGAGAAACCAAATAAGAGATAGGGACCTCTCTAGAAAATGCCAAGTTGACCCTTTAGAACAGTGTTTCTCAACCTTGGCAACTTGAAGATATCAGGACTTCAACTCCCAGAATTCCCCAGCCAGCAAATGGGAGTTGAAGTCCGGACATCTTCAAGTTGCCAAGGTTGAGAAACACTGCTTTAGAATATGGAAGGATGAAAGAAACGATGTAAATGAATGAGCAGGAAGCGGGGGAGTTTCTGAGGAGTAGAATCTATCAATTGTATTGTTTGAATGCTATTCTTTGCTCTCCTTGTGCGCGATCCACTTGGGAGGAGACTTGGAAGCCGCCTTTGCAAACGCTTTTCATTTTTCTGCAAATAAACCTTTTTGAATTGCGAACCAGGCTTGTCTCTGTCTTGTGAGGATTTGATAATTGGGTTTTTAATCTCACACAAAGAAGAAAACAGCAAGTGGGGGCCTTAACGTTTGGGATACTCAGGGGTCCCCAACGGGGGTGGCATACACTTACCTGGTTCCACCACAAAACCGCGCTCGACTAAACCGCGCCCGACTAAACTGCGTCGCTGATGTCATCAACAGGGCGACAACAGCGCGGAGACAGAAGCATGCTGTAAACCCTAAACCTAAAATTATCCCCTAATCCTAATCCTAACCCCCCTAAACCTAAACCTAAACCTAAACCTAACCCTAAACCTAATCCTAACCCTAAACCTAACCCTAAACCTAAT